ATAGGAGATCCCTCTTTAATTAAAAATGAAAACCAAAATGGAGAAATCAGGCCCATATTCAGTTATGTAAAATTTTTTTTGCTCTATGGTGATTAGGGACCCAGAATATTGCTAAGCTACTTTCTCTGTTACACTTGTCAGCATAAAAATAATGGAGAAAAAATAGAACCTGAGAAATCTGGAAAATGCCATCCTAAAGATATCGCAGGCTGCACTGCCAAGCCCTATTTCCTCATTAGTATGGGAAGAAATGGAAGTTTCTTGAAAACAATGTGTTCAAGAACAAATCTTTCATTGCACTATATACATCCCAACCTTTTTCAAAACTCTTGAGTGACCAAAGATATTGAGGGAGAAAGTGTTCCTGCCACCCTGCCCAACACTGACTGCCTCCTGAAGGATGATTCTCTCTTCCAGCCTTAGCCTCATGAGCTGTTTTGTCTCTGTCTGATTGAGACAGCCTCAGTGGAAACCTTCAGGAGCCCCATTAGTCCTCACAAACCAGAAGGGCAATGTCTAGAACAACACATACAAAAGGTTCCCCAGGAGCAAAGAAAAGAACATATATAAAATTCAGTGCTTTGTGATCCTGGAGTATTTTTAGAGCCTAAAAATTACAAAACTGATTTTCACAGTGCTTACTTTTAACTCACCTTAACCAATTACCCAGACCTTTAAAGGAAGTTAAAAAAAAAAAAAAGGACAAATTTCTAAATGAAGCTATTACGTCACCACTGTCCAAAATGCCTTTAATAATTTGTAGCCTGGTGTCTCATGTTTTATTATACAATTCCAAGTCACCAGAAATAACTTCTCAATCCAGCCAAGTCATGCAATGATGCACAGCCAGAAGTCGCTTTGAGGAGGAAGGGGCTAGAGGCTGAGGAGCCTCATAGACAGCTTTATATGACATTAAATCTACAACAGTCTCAAAATCTAGAACGAAAAAGACTCAAAATACCAACAGCTCTGAGCTTCAATGAATTTAAACACACTCTTTTTTTAGTACATGTTCACATGACTTGTTAAATAATTTACTCTATAAATTACTTATCCTGTCTTACTTATTAACAATTCTAGAGTGCTTTATATAACTGCATTAGAAATTTATTTTGTGGTTTTAAAATGTACGCAATACACAATCACCTCTCTTTTAATAGGCAAGAGCTTAAAAGTCACCTACTATTTTGTTGGCACGCCGTTCTTCCTGAAAAACACCAATTAATTTCAAACCTCATTCGCCTGAATAACCATAAGTAAACATATTAATGACTTGACAGCAGAACTGTGAAGCTAGGCCAGGAATATATTTGTACTGCAAGATGTCACTTTTAAATCAAAGTCATTTGAAGAGTCATGTACACTGAGATACAACAGCAATACATTTTCCTTAATGAGAAAATATTACACTGGTCCTTTTACAACAAGTCCTGACCACTCTAAAAATTTCTCTTTTACTATCCTATCAATATTTTCGTATGAGTGATCTCAACAAGGCCTACTTATTTGCCATTGTGTCTGCAATGCATGGATTTTACAAAACTGATAAAGTAATTCTGCTTTTGTCACTCTGGTCCTTGGCTTTTAATGTATCAATGACTGATACCATTTATCCTAACGCAGAATCTCACTCTGGAGTTCACTTTATCTCAAATAATACCAAAGTGACCAGACAATTATTACAAGTACAGTCTGTTATGATAAGCACCAGTACTTGTTTTCCAGATAAAGACCAGCCCACACCATCATCTCAACCAACCGGGCAAATCTAAAATCTGTCTCATTTACTGTAGTAGAACACTATGCAAAAACAGCCAGGAAGGGAAAGAGTGAGAGAGATGACTAAGAAAGCACCAGGCATAAATAATCTTATGCCCTCCCACACCAAGTTTCAGCAGCTGGCCTTCATAGGGCTGATGCAGAAGTACCCTCTCCATAGATTTGGATGCTGAATCCAAGCAGGAATCAAGAAATAGCTAGATTGGGATGAGACTGCTTATAAACTCGAAAGCACAATCCACCTGTGGACCAAAACAGTGAAACACCTGAGTGTTAGGTGCTGGTGGCTGCCAGATACATGGTACCTCATCTCTGTTATTCCTGCTGCACCATCCCATCTTTTTCCATCTCTTAAAGCCAAGTGGAAAACCCTGGCTGCCCACTCACATCCTGCCTGCTCAGTGCCACCCACCTGGCCCAGAGCCAATCCTCTGCACCACCATGGGTTTCACACTCTGACCATGCAGTTATCCCAGCGCTCCCAGTGCCTGTGTCTGGGGTAAAGAACTGAACTCAGGATCCATGCCCTGGGTGCCTGTGGGTGTTTTGCCTAGGACTGCACTCCTGTCAAGACCAGGACGTAACCAACAAGCGAAGGATTGATTTCAATAGATACTCACGAAATACATGAAAATAAATTCTTCAAATTAATTGTCTTATGCTTTCTACATGTTATTTATACCAAGAGTAATTGAGTAATTCCACCAGAGACCAACGGAATGTATCTGCAGAGCACATAAAAGAAGAAACAGGCCTGAAGCTACGCTGAAGCTAAGTGAAATGTAACACTCCAGTCTCTTAAACCTGTTTCTTAGCTAGAATTAAGCAAGATCTGTGGTGTTATAAACAGTTTCACAATCTGTACCTACTGTATTAGAACTGCTTCTGTACGTACTTAGTGTTTACTGAGCTCAAACAATGAAATAATATGACAGCTACTGCAATTCAATTTTTAATTTGTCTATAAACTAATTAAAGGGTCCCTGTGTTTTATGTTAAAAGCACACATGAAAATACCATCTCAAATACGTGCAACAGCATCTCCTGAGAAATCCATGACTCAAAATTATTTTTAGATCACCAAACAAAACAATGTGCAATGTCACAGAATGATACAGTAAAAATCAAAAAGAGCAATAAAGAAAATGATGCTTTAAAAACCCAGAAAAATTAAAGCCAAAAGTATCAATGTAAAATGACTAGACATGTTTTAAGCTCATCATGGAAGAAAACATATTTACAATATGTGTTTTCTGTTCTGGCCTTTCACACCAGAGATTAAATTCAAGATAAAAATTGCCCTGTTACTTCTAAACAGAATGCAATGGATAAAAAGGCTACCAATGCCTATAAAAATGATCACAGATGCATAGCTCAAAGTATTTTTTTTTTCTATTTAAGCAATCTACAAAAACATCTGAATCAATAACAGTTACAACTCAGAAAGACTCATTTCTTTATCACAGGTCCTAAAAATTCTCCCAAAGGTAGGCCATACATGAGTAGCAGAAATTAATGCCTCCAGCTTTTCCCCCAAGCAAATGCAGGGAAATGCAGCAAATTGACTTCAACGAACTGTAGGAATGCAGCCCAAGGGCTAGAATTTAATCTAAACTCACACAGTATTGCACAGTACTTTTTTTATTTCTTCTAAAAGACATTGAAAAACAGAAGGATGGAAAATACAAATAGTGAGAAATCTGTATAGATTTGGGGCAAATATAATGGTATCTTTTACATTAAATGTCACAGAAAGCAATTCAAAAACAGGGGTAGGAAAATACAAACAAAACAGCTTGAGAAGGTTTTTCCTGAGATCTATCATCTATACACCCGGTATCCAAAATTTTTTGCTCTGCAAGAGGTTTTCTTAGGCAATGGACATGAATGCCATGGTGCTCGGAACTATGAAACTATGACGGATTTAACACAAAAAGCTACAGAACTCCCTCATCACATTGTGTCTTTGAGGCCAACGAGGACGGAAGCTCCACATGGGAAAGAGAGGAAAAAACTTTTTTCCTCACGCTTAATTAGGGTTGTCTAATTCCCTCCCAACTGCTGACAAGCAGTCCTCTGTTCATTCCTCTGCAGGTTTTGTATTTTTCCCTTCCAACCACCTCCACTGAGAAGGTCAAAGCAGGTTCGCATTCCTATGGTTAGGGTATGAAAGACAGTTTGCTGTCACTTTCTGCCGCATCACTTCCTTTACTTTTTTTTTATTTCTTTTTTTTTTTTTTTTTTTTTTTTTTACCAAAACAGGAAAAATCTGGGGTGAAGGGCAAACCACCCACTAATACCCTTGGTTCGCAGCGATAAGCAGAGAGAACGAAAGTAAAAAAAAAAAAAAAAAAAAAAAGAAAAAAAAAAAAAAAAAAAAAAAAGGAAAAAAAAAAAAAAGGAAAAAAAAGGAAAAAAAAATAAAAAGAAAAGGAAAAAAAAAAAGAAATATAAAAAGCCCTTCTTTTATACCTACTGCCGCCGCAGAGGTGCGGGCTGAGCGGTGCGCAGCTCGCGGCAGCAGCTGGGGCACCGGCCGGAGGCGAAGCCCAGGCCCGTCCCGCTGCCCGGCTGCCCCGTGGTCCCGCTGCCGCCGACCCCCGCCCCGGTGCCCGCGACCTGCATCGCGAACAATTAGGATTCATCCTCTAAACGGGCTGGCGGCGGCAGCTCCGGCAAGCCGCGTCCAAATAAAATCACACGGGGCTTTTAGGCTTCCAGCACCGCATCTGCCCGCGGAGCAAAAGCCTCTGGCGTGGGTCAGCTCCCCGCCGCCCCCGCCCGCGGCTTCCCCCGCCTGCTCCGGCCCGTCGCCCCCGCGCCCGGCCCCGGGCCGTACTCACATCTCGGTAACATTGTCGCCCTCGGCGATCCTCTGCGGCACGGGGAAGGAGGCGATGCCCGGCGACGATCCCGTGCACCAGATCCGCCAGGAGCTGCACCCGCAGGACGCGGGGCAGCCCAGCGCACTCGGCCAGCAGCCCAGCACCAGGCAGCACAAGCCCCACAGCCGCGCCAGGCCGGGCCCCGGCCTCCGCCGCCAGGACACCATGCTCACTCCAGCACTGCCCCGACGGCCTCCTCCTGCTCCCGCCGCCGCTGCCGGCGCGCACGGCCGGAGGGTGCGCAGCCTTCCGCGCCGCGGGCGGGCACGCCGCGACCGGGGCTCACATGGGCGCGCCGCAGCC